AATATGGAGTGGTCTCTCAATTTTATTCAGAGCTGTAAACATAATCCACACACGCACGCACACACACACACACGCCATCTCCCCACACACCTGTTTCCCAGCATTGCCCGGCGTACAGTCCCAGGCCAGTGGGGCTCGCAGTCAAGGCCGAGATGGAGTGAGCGTGACCATATGGTCACATGGCACGTAGCAACAGCTGGAGCTGCTTAGAGCGATGGGTCTGGGCCACACTGCTCGCCCAGCCGCCCCACCACAGAGGCTGCATGCTGGAGGGTACGACCCAGTAAGCTCTCCATGCTACAAACCCCTGGCAAGAGGACATGTTAAGGCTGGACACTGTGAGGATCTGAAAAACATCAGTCACCCTCCCAATGCAGGGAAAACCGGATATTTTACTTTACCAACTGCTCCATAACTCAATCTTCTCTCACAAGAAGAAAAAAATATATTAAAAAATGTTGTACCGCACACACAGTTCTCTCTCAACTGGGAAAGCTCACTTCGAGATTACACTGGCTTTTATCTCAGCCAAATATCTGTTACCGTTTGAGTGATTCAAAGAAACAGCCAGATGCGTAGATTTGCAGTGCCAAAATCCAGTGATCCAGAGCAGAGATAATGCAGTCAGCATTAAGATCCAGTACACAGGACACCACAGCAGCTCTCTGTCTGCTGCATGGGCCTTGCACACCTGAGCATCTGGCGACAGGCTGTCGGGGGCCACTGGGGTCCTTGGAGATCCGTTCCCTTCTGACTTTCTCCCGAACATCCACCTGCTCCTCCCTGGAATCCCAGCCAGTGACGTCTCAGAGCAAACACTGGGACCCATGCAGCTGAGTGACGGGGCCGCTGTTATTCCCAGTAAACATGCCACTGTAGGTCTGCTGTTGGAAGGTTCAGAAAGAGTGGAATCCTAAGTTAGTTAAAAATACAAGCTGAAAACACACCTCCACTTATACTAATTATGTCCATGATTAAGAAAATGCATTTTTTTGTGAAACTCATTAATTGAAGTGATAGTTTTGAAGACAGAGCAGTTTCACTTTGAACAGTAAAACAGAGAGAGACTTCTGGCCAGTTCAGCTAAGCGCCTCACAGCAGACCCCCCCCACACACAAACACACACGCTAAGCTCTGTGACGGCCCGCTGTCCCAGGAGACTCCAGTAAAGCCCAGTGTGTGGGCCCAGCTGACAGAGGCTATCAGGGTACAGCTTCCAGCCCGAATGAGGCTTCTGGCAGCCCGTGGTGTTCCAGTTAAGCTCTTAATCACTTTGCTTAGAATTGTTGAACTAAGGAATCGGACAGTGCAAGTCACGCGAAAGCAGGCCATTAGTCTGGGGAGCACAAACCAACACTTTCAGTTTTCTCAGTACAATAAGACTGCGATAAATCAGGTTTATACTGAATCAAGAGTTACCCACAGTGTTTAAAATGGAAAAATAGAACTTCGTCATATGCAAACACTGTGTGTAAGAAATGCATTATTACTAATGACACTTGTTAAAAACTTCAAGATGGTACATAGCTGTAGACTGATAAAATCTCTGCTTATAATTCCAGAAAAATCAAATACACCATTTTTAACGTAAATTAAGTTACTCAGTATTAGAAATTGCACACTAAGTTCTTCGGGTAGAAGCTGATCGCATTCTCTGGTCCATAAGGGTGGGGATGGGGCAGCATGGCCCGTGGTAAGAGGCTGCTGGAACGGTCCATTCCGAGGAGGGGGGTGTTCTGTAAGACGACACCTCCATTAGTATGGGTGCGACCTTCTAAAATGCAGATCATATATTTACACAAGAGAAAAAACAGCAGAGGGGAGGAAATTAAGATTGAGATTTTACAGAGCAGAGACCAACAATCACATTTAGAGAAATTTAAAAGTGATAGTGACAGATATTCTGACACAAGCAGAGGGGGAGACCATCATGATATGCCAGAGGGGGAGACAATTTCAGGGGATACCTGCCAACTTTGCAGCCATTTGTTATGAGAAACAAACTTCCACTAACTTTAGGTCAGGGGTTGGCAGCCCTGATCCTGTAGAGTGACGGTATCCTGCAAGTTTTCTGTCCTACCGGATGAGTTACTATCTGCCTGATATCCGGTGAGGTTCATCAGAGACCATGTAGGATGGAAAACCAGCTGGATACTGGCACTGCAGGATCAGGGTTGCCTATCCCTGCTCTAGGTTAAGCTCACCTTTAAACCAATCTGCTGGTGGAATGAGGGTGTGACCCCCACACCTCCAAGAAGCTCCCAGGACCCACTAAAACACTGCTGAGCTTCGCTGAGATAGCGGACCCACCAGAACATGGAGAACTGAACACGTCAGGCAAACAGCCGGGGTGACACCCAAAGTGGGCTCAACGCACTCACCTATAAATACTGTCTCATCATTGGTCTGATCCATATAAAGTAATAATAATAATAATAATAAAATGATAATATTTATATAGTGCCTTTAAAAAACCCAAGATTTATAAGGAACAACATAAAAAAAAACATTAAAATACATCAAAATATTCACATCAAGCAGTACAGGAAGAAAAATACTCATTAAACAGGAAAGTCAGATTTAAAAGCGGGAAGCGAAGAACATTCAGGGAGAGACGGAGGAAGAGAATTCCAGAGTTTGGGGGCAATAGCACTGAATGACCTGCCACCCATAGTGAGAAACCTGGGGTGAGGGACAAGGAGCAGATTAGAGCTAAATGACTGGGGGAGGGGTGAGGAGGTAACTGAGGTAAGAGGGTGCAGGGCCATTAGTGCTGTGAAGGTGAGGAACAGGATTCAGGACAGAACTGGTAACCAGTGTAACTGTGGGAGAATGGGAGTGACGTGAGCAGAGCGCCTGTTATGGGTGAGGACTCCTGAAGCAACTAAACCGTTTATAAAGATGAAGCAGGAAGGTTAACGAGAAAGGAATTCCAACAGTCAACACGGGACAGGATGACTGCATGAACCAGAGTTTTGCGCATCATTACTAGTTAGAAATGGCTGAAGCTGAGCGATATTTCAAAGGTGGTAAAATGCAATTCTGGCGAGGGACTTGATATGCAGATCAGAGTTTGGTGATGGGTCAAATAGGACTCTTAGATTTCAGATAACAGGAGCAGGTTTGACATACACACCATCAATACAGACTGGGAAATCAGATGCTTTAGATAATGAGGACTTAGGACCTATGACTAAAACTTCAGCTTTATCGAATCTTCAAATCAGAGATTGTATGGTATTAATGCTTTGGGAGGGGATTCAGTGGGGGATCGCAAATGGACATAACTGAATATCATCTGCATGTCAGTGAAAGTGAAGGCTACACAGCAATGAATAATCTGACCAAGGGGCATTATGCAAATTAAATAGGGAAGGGGGGCCAGGAACTGCTCCGAGGGACACCACTCTTAACAGGACAGGTAGATGACTTGTGAGCGCCTAGAATGATAAACCGTCATCTGATTGTGAGACATGACCTTAACCAGAATAGGGTGATACCAGAGATACTAATAGAGGACAGATGGGAAATGAAGACCTCATGATTTACATGACTTGCACTCAGGTCCAGGAGGAGAAGGTTCAGAGCACCACCATCAGAAGACCTGAGGAGATCATTGACAACACACAATACAGCCGTCTCAGTTCAGATCATTTTCCTGAAGAAAGTCATGTAGAGTAGCTACCAATCTTTTCATGACTTTTGCTAGAAATGGAAGATCAGAAATAGGTCTGTAATTAGACAGACGTTGGATCCAGATCAGGATTTTGAGGACAGGAGTTACTGCAGATGTTTTGAGGGAGTATTAAAAAAAAAATAAACAATCCCTGAATTGCATAGTTCATGAGGACTAAAGAGTCCTACCTCTGATACCGACGTCACATGCCCTGAAAAGCCAGCAGACCCTCATGCATCAAACGGAGAAGGGGTGCTGGACAGCCCACTGAAGATACTGCAGACGACTCCACAAAATTAAAGGTTTATTGTGATTACAGGAACGCGTACAATGGTTTGACGTCAATCTCCGCAGCCAAAATCAACAGCAGAATTAGCAAAAACATGAAGTATCCCCCTAAACCAAAAGACCCAAAAAAGCAACATAGTGAAAATGGTGAAGATTTTCCAGTCTCCCGTCGGCTAGCTTCCTGGTCGCCGGTGAGCTTCAGATCTTGACCGTGTGAGCGTGATTCTTACACAAGGGCTTGTCCTTTTTGGAGAAGAAGGTCTGACCCTCCAGACTCGTGCTGCACACCTGAGAAGGCGGACAGATGACCGTCATAATGGCAGCATTATGTATAATACACAGTGCTCACAGAAAGTATTGGGGCGTTTGCTTAATTAAATACGTTGCTGATTTATTTTTTAATAACCAAAGTCCATTGACAAGTAATGTTTAACATTTCATTGTCTGCACAGACATTTTCTTTTTATTAAGTGTTTTTTGACTGACTTATTCAGTTCTGTTCTTGCCGTTTTGCTATTAATTGCAATTGCAGTCACTGGCTCCCAAAGGGTGACTAAAGACAAATGTTTGTTTCATGTTAAAAAGCACCCAGTTAAAAACTTTTAACTTTTTAACTGTCTTAGAACTATAATTTGGGTTTTAATTTATCAGTACTAGAAATGGATTTTTAATATGAAATATATTTTGTTTCTTATAAAACCCACTGATTTTATATATTTTCACTGAATGAAGTAAGCATACCAAGAGTTTCTGTGAGCACTCTATATGCACACTCACACACACACACACACACACACACACACACAGACGTACCGCGCACACGAAGCAGGTGTCATGCCAGGTGAATCCCAGAGCTTCCAGGAACTTATCTCCAGCCTCGATGGGGAAATCGCAGCCATGGCAGTTCGTACCAAAGAGGGTATAATAGTCTGCAAAACCGTTTTTAATGAAATTATTACAGAATCAGTACAGAAATTAGCAGGATAACTCCGACACACAAGCGCATCAAAAAATCTTCAGGATTTGTATTACCAAACACCAAAGAAAAAATAAACACTTTATGTTTAGAGTGATATGATTAGTCAAGGCTATTAACTAGAACTGGAACCAGTACAGCTCAGACCAGACATGAAAACCACAGAGGGCAAACGCTGAGACCATTAGCTAATCCACAGAGATGCCAGGTCCGGCTCGGCTCCTCCCATGACCCCACCCACAGCCCACAGCCACGCCCATGGCCCCACCCATAGCCCATAGCCACACCCATGGCCCCACCCATAGCCCACCGCACCTCCCATGACCCCACCCACAGCCTCACCCCGCTCGCAGTACGGCTCCCCGTCCTCCAGATGGAAAGTGTTGTTACGGATGGGCTGCTGGCAGGACACACACAGGAAGCAGCGTACATGCCACGTCTGCTTCAGAGCATTGATCACTTCCTGTGGACAAGAGTCGCAGGGTATGCGTCACACCCAGCTCGCCACATCTCTGAGCCCCCCCATCCCTCCGCCGTGTACTCACCCCCAGGATCTTCTGCCGGCAGCGGGTGCACACTGGGGCCAGGAACTCCTCGTAACAGCGGGCGCAGTAGTTGGAGCCGCGCTCCTCCACGAAGCCCATCTCAGCCAGAGAAGTGTGGCAGTGTGCGCAGTTAAACTCCTCGGGGTGCCACGACTTTCCCATGGCAACCAGGAAGGGGCCCCTGCGGACAGGGAGGGAGGGGGCGTTAAGCACACGAGCGAGACGCGGCGGGAGCAGGGGGGCGCAGGGGGGCGGCCGCCTTACCGGATGACCTTGTTGCAGTTGGCACACATGGGCGTACGGGTGCCCGCAGGCATGTGCTCGGCCTGCTGCACCAGTGAGTCCTGGTCCTTGGGGTGCGGCTGGGGGACGGGCCGGTCCGACACAGGGCCCTTCGGGGCCCCGGGGCCGACACGTCCAGGGAGGGCCGTGACCTGACCCTTCTCAGCAACACCTTTGGAGGCTACCGGACCTGCATGGGGCCGGGGAGGGGTGTTACTACCAAACATACACAACCCACCAACAGGGGGGGCTGTAGGGCATGGCTCAGCGCAGGTGCACAGCAGGAACCTACAACATTCCGGCACCTGGTGACCCTTGTTGACTTCTGCTAGGCAACAAGAAAAAAAATCTTCTAGAACAATAAAGACACAGTTCATCACGTCATCGCCATCTACTCTGGGCCCCCTAATGCTCATCCAAGCTAAAGCACCCAAGATTTCCAGTTTCCCGCAGGGTGGTTCAGCTCCAGGGGGAGAGGGCATAAAGGTTAGGGTGAGTCTGAAGGGATAGGAGCGCTTTAGCTACGACGGTGGCTTCCTGCGCTGCTTTTCTGGGAGTATGTGCAGTTTCTTTGGGACAGTGCCACGCCACGCACTGGTACCTGCTGGGCTGCCCCCCTGCCAGGACGGGGGTTTGAAGCCCTGCGCCGCTCCGGCAGGGCTGCTCCGTGAGGTGCCAGCAGGGGCTTTGGTCATAACCTTCAACGCAGAAGAATGGTGGGTGCTGGGCTGGGGCTCGACCACCGTCTCACTGGGAAACGAGACGACAGAGTGTTACAGAGAGGCATGGGGCTCTGGGGGGGGGGTAGGGGCCAGGAAGAGGAGGGGGGAGGGAAAGAGACCAGGAAGAGGAGACAGAGTGGGAGGGACCAGGAAGAGGAAAAAGAGAGGCCAGGAAGAGGAGGGGGGAGGGAGAGAGAGAGAGGAAGGGGGGGGAGAGACCAGGAAGAAGACAGAGAGAGAGGGAGGGGTCTGGAAGGGGGGCAGGAGGAGCAGGGAGGGCGAGCAGAATGACAGACAGCATGAGCAGCAGGAGACAGACAGACGTGCTCCCTGCCGACAGGCACCTGAGGGGAGGCTGCGAGTGGCAGCTCCGCACCGGGGACCTCAGGTGACAGAAAACGGCACAAACGGGGCCCACAAGGTCGGCCATTAGCAGGCAGCAGCCCCCACTGTCCCGATTTGGCTCCTGATGCTGCTACTGAACCCAATCCGAATGACACACTGGAGGTTCATGCCTCACCCCACCTATACGACCCAACAGGGGACTTCAAGCTCTGACCTGTCTAGATTGTACCCAGGGCTGCAACAGAAAACTAGGCACAACAGGCAGCCAGATATAACCAGCCTGCACTTGTTACAAACCATTAACCCTAAACTCATCCGGAGTCTCTGGCTAAGGACTCGTTAGGCCACATCCTCCCAGACAGCCAGGCCCTGGAGGGCAGTGAGGGGCAGAGGACACCCCCATAACAGAGCCAGGATACTGATACTAAATGGGACAGAGCCAGGACCAGGAACCACTGCCTTGACTGAAGTGGCAACTCATAATTATGTTCTTACATAGTCCAATATCTCCATCCACTCAGAATGTGGCCCACTTGGAATTTACAGAGACACCTACAGTAAAAATCACACAAACAATGGATATGCTGCCATCTAAGGGTGAGATGGTAGAATTGTTAGTAATAAAAACAGATTAGTAATGATTTCGGAAAAACTGCCGCATATGTTAACTGGACAATAATAGAAAAAATAATATCCCTTTGAAAATCTAATAATCTAAATGAATAAATACGTTTTGCATCAAAAAATGGAATGACTTTGCATGCCTTGGCCACACGGGGTCACTGTAGCCTTGTAAACCTGAGAGATTACTGAAGATCCGAGTGCTGGTCTTACCGAGTGCAATGGATTATCACTGCAAAGGCTTCACTTCAGCACAGTCTGTCCCTCAGAGGAGAAGAGGAAGGAAGGAAGGAAGGAAGGAAGGAAAGGAGGAAAACAGAATAAGCACGAAGAGTGATCATATAGAGTCAGTTCAGAGAGGGTTAGTGTCACCCAGAGCTGAAGTCAGACACACTTACTTCTTTACAGCAATGTTCTCCATGCCTTTTTCTGACAGAGGAAAGCAAGACAGTGACACCTCATTACCCAGAATGCCTCATACAACCAAGCTCCATATAGAAGGTCAAAGGTCAATCAGAGGCATCGTTTACCCTCCAAAAAAAGGTCCTTTGTAATGGTTACCATGGTGACAGTCACAGATTAAGCACAGGACATTTCCTTAATTAGCATCAGTGCAGCATCTCTGTTAGCTACTCCTAGTTGCAGAATGGTCCTTCAGGTAAAGCTCACCAGACTCGGTGCCGGTCATCTGGGCCAGCATGCGGAAGGAGCGTGACTGGGAGGTACCGCTGCGGGTGTGCCAGTCCTCCGTATCCTCCACCAGGCGCTTCTTCCCCACGTCGGACGGGGGCGGGCCGTGCGGGGGCGGGCCGTGCGGGGGCGGGCCGTGCGGGGGTTCCACCTTCAGGTCCGGCACGGGCTTCCGCGAGGCCCTGGGCCAGACACACTGTCACTTAGGGCCATCGAAAGGACCTCCGCCTTCCGAGGCTCCGCGCCCAGAAGCACACAGAAACGTCCGGCCTCATCCCAGTGCTTTAGCTATTTGCATTAGACAAATTCCTTAAAGCTCACGGAAACACAAAGCCGTCTGTCCAAAGCCCTTAATACCTCAGAGCTCAGGTTCAGACTGAACTTACAAAGGTGAAATATTCCCTAGAGAACCCAACCACAGCTGTTCAAGGAGGAACTCGGTCAAGCCAATGAAATGCTGAAGCCTCAGGATCTAGAGACGCACGACTGTTAGACTGAATCTAACAGGCTACTGATGCATGACTGCTTATGCAAATCAATCTGGGAGCCGACCAGCATCAGGCAGCCGTCGAGGCACGAGGCAGCAGGTCAGCAGACACGGTACAGCCAAGAGCCCCCCCTCCTCAGAGGATCAAACCACTGGCAAAAACAGCACGCCTCAAAACTATGAGTAAGAGCACAGAGTTTCTGCTCTAATTACTGACAGGTGTTGCTGGTGATGATTCAGGCAGGATTTTAATTAAAGAGATTCAGAGAGGTCCATCTATGGCAGGGGTGGGGAACCTGATCCATGGAGAGCTGGTGTGGGTTTTTGGGCGGACCTCTCAATCAGCCAATCACAGAGGGGGACCAGGAGTGGAGTTGAGAACCACTGCTTTATTATTGCCTGACTGAGAGGCCATCCCAAAAACCCGCACCGGCCCTGCATGGATCAGGTTCCTCAGCCCTGATCTATGAGCTGATCGTCAGTCTCGCAGCCCTGAGAGCCACAGGAAGCCTGCCTGCCAGCCCTAAGGAGAGAGGAAGGGTCCGCAGGCTGTACCTACCCGTTAAGGTGCTCGGCTCCGCCCAGCTTCTCCAGTAGGCCCCGCCTCTGGCCCAAAGCCACCTCACAGGCATTCTCATTGGAGTACAGGCTGATTGGCGTGTTGTACACTGACGGCTGGGGGGCCACAGGGCCAGAGGTGCTGGCGGGAGGGGGGAGAGTGGAGCGACCAGGGCTGGGCTTCGGGCTGGAGCTCAGTGGTGCGGCGGGTCGAGATGCAGAACCGCCGATGGGGAATGGGGGCTGGGCAGCAGGGGTGGAGGTGGGGGCAGCAGGGGTGGAGGTGGGGGCAGCAGGGGAGGAGGTGGGGGCAGCAGGGGTAAAGGCAGAAGAGGCTGATGGGATTGAAGCCACTTTGGGTGCAGATGAGAAAGGAGCTGGGCTCACAGAGGCCCCCCCACCGAACGGCCGGGCCGTCTTGTTGTAGGCAGGACCTGCAGCCGGGCTGCTGGAGTCGGCGGCCGCAGGAGGGTGGCTGACAGGAACCGGTTTAATGATCTCCTGAGGTTCCTCCTGAACATGAGAGAGATCACAGGTCCGTGACCCAGGAACCGAGGGGGGGGGGGCACAAGCACAGCAGCATCGACTCGACTCAAGGTGAACCCACCTTAGCCACTGCGGCCGCTTTCGACACCCCGGAGGCCCTGTAAAAAACATTTTTATAAAAAAACAGTCAGAACAGGAACAGACAGACAACCCTCCAACCGCAGGGGAACAGCCCCTTTAAATCCACAATAAAAGTGAACGTCTGACTCTTAAGATCTTTGTGGGCACGTTGGTGGCAGCTGAAGAAAGAGACGGCTGCAGGGTCATGTGACCACGGGGGTGCAGTTTGCGGAAGACGCGCCCAGCCACAGAAAACAACAGGGCTACTCCGTCAGTTGCCGTGTAGGGGGAGCCGGCTGGGCCATCCCGCTTCTGCCCACACAGGACGAGCCGTTGGCGGAATCCAATGTCAACAGAAGGAATAATAATGTTATATTTGGAACAAATCAAGAAGTGCAGAGATAATGTCCATACAAGGGAAAAAAGATCACAGGGCCAGAGTGGAGAGAGCGAATCCTCCAGCCCACTGCTCCCATTCCGGAAACATCCACACCCCATCCTGGGACCCTTGATCATTTGGCACTAAACCGCATATGAAAGCAGTCGGGGCTCCACATCACTGTCCCCCTGTCATTATCCCCAACCCCCCCCACAGACATCCATCTCACAAGAACCATCCTGATCAGCCTTCCACCTCTCGGCACATCAGGTTAACGCTCTCCTCTCTATGTCTATGGGAGTGACCAGACCCAGGCTCAAGGCCACGGGATCCGGGATCCGGGATCCGGGATGGAGAACGTCGACACAAACCACAAGACCCAAGCTAAGACAAGGACAACAATGTTCACACACACTATTAACCCATGAAGGTGGGGAAGACACATTTGCAGTACGAGAACTTAGTCTGCTGCTGTAATCTCCCCCATCTTCTCTGAGTCTTTGTCAGGAGGTGGGGGGGGCACCCAAGAAAAGATTATGATTTAGACTAGGAAAAATAAAGTGTGTAAGATTAGCTGGGAGACAAAGAATCAGCAGAGAGACAGAAAAGGGTCTAGCCTGTCAAAGATTAGCTGTGAGACAGATAATTGTAGAGATGAAGTTCTGAGCTGTGAAAGATATTAGCTGTGAGCGAGAATAAGCTGAGAGAGGAGGGTCTAAACCAGAGTTATTCAAATCCCGGTCCTCGAGGTCCGAGCACTGCTGGTTTTCCAGCCTTCCTTTACCTGTCAGTCAGGTGTGAAGCCTCTGACCAATCAGAATCAGTAATTATTAAACAACTACCTGGGAGAACTGAAAACACGGCCTGGATTTGGAATCGAGGTCCAGAGTTGAAGACCCCTGGTCTAAACTGTGAAAGATGAGCTGTGAGTGAGAATAAGCGGAGAGAGGAGGGTCTAAAATGTGAAAGATAAGCTGTGAGTGAGAATAAGCAAAGACTACAACTCCGCAGCGCTGGTACCTGGGTCATGTCTGGCCACGCAGCCACTCTGAGCTGGATTCCTAATAAACTGAGCAGCTGTGACACCAGACAGACTTAACAAGCGTGAACAGGAGTCTCACGCCTCAAACGGCCCCCTTCCCCTCCCCCCTCCCAGCATAACGTGGCCATGAACTCGTCCCCACACACGTTCTACTAATTCCCCCCAAATCACACCATCTGACAGTCAGAGACACGCTCCATGGAGAATAAGCCTCTAACGTGACACCAAATTCAGCCTTCACACCCGACACAGGCCACAACAGAATCGAGATTATGGACGAGATTTAACCTATAATTTTTTTCATTAGAAACCGGTAAACATAGCACTCAGTATAGAGAGAGCACCTATATCGACGTTCCCATGAAGCACATCCAGGTTCCCTCCGTATGTCCAGATAATAGACCAGCATCCAGCAGTCGGGATGCTACTGAACATCTGCCACCTTTCAGTGCTGCCCCCTGCTGTCCTGAAGCTGGCCGGGGCTCTCTCACCCCCCCCCAAATCCCAGCTTTCCCCCTTCTTCCCTCATATCTAAGGGTTCCTCTGGCATTCATAACCCTGACTGACCAAACCTCAATAAGCAAACATTTAATCCGAGTCTGGAGGGATGGAAATATGGACAGAGACACCGTGAATTCCAAAGAAAGAATCCAACAGACACAACCTGTCAGCCCTTTTTCAGTACGATCACTTACATGAAAGACGGGCGAAATGCATACAAGACATGGCTGTGCTCAGTTCATAGCTGACATCATCTGCCACAGACCTTCTGAGTGTGGCCTAAAACGTGCCCAAGCAGCCTCGAGTTCCCATCCCACCGAACAATAACAAAAACATTTGGCTTCGTCCACTCTGAGACTGATGGCAATCCAGTAGGATGGACCCCGAGGACAATTTAAAGTCCGAGAGGTACTGAGCGAGGAGCCCCAGCTCCTTGCCAGGGTAAACGATTCCACGTGGCCGGACGTGACTCTAGGACCCCGGCCAGCGTGGGCTGCAGCTAGGAGCCGACTGGGGAGGACCATAGAGCCTATATTTTCATGTTAACGACTGAGCTGCCAGTGTCACCGACCCCCAGCTGGTAAAATCATAGCAACGCAGTGGCCTACAAGCATCACCTGGGGGTTAAAGCTGAGTGAAACTCAGCATCACCTCGGGGGGGACGTCACTCTTTCAGTAAAGGGCAGATCCTCAGCTAAACGTGTGGATCTGAGCGGGGAAGCAGTCTGCGAGCGATTTATGAAAACCACACGCTCCATAAAAACTCGGCCACATAGAAAACAAACACGGGCCAGATGGTTAGCGGCTAGCGGCTGGGTTCTGGCCGGCAAGGCCCAGAATGAGTCTTCTGTGGACCGGGCCGGGCGTTCTGGTGTGGCTCAGGCTGAATTCGGTAGTGCTCTGTGGTTCTGCTCCAGGCAATAAAACTGCAGCATCCACTACTCTGCTGGGCTCATTCTCTTCTCTCATGACTCAAGGCTCCCAGATACCAGGGGCCTGGAAAATGACCGGACTGCTCCATCAGGGAACAGCTCCCATGCAGAGATACAGACAAGGCCAGAACAAAGTATGGGATGTTTTCACTCAGTTCAGTGGAACAGGACCATTAAGCACGACCATGACGGGGTGATGCAGGGGCAGCGGTAACAACACAATCCAGATACTGACTGAATAGCTGAAGCTTGTGGAAACGTGTGGCTCAGTGATCCAAACCTCTGAGCCTGTGAGCGGATGGTTGCAGGTTCAAACCTGGCCTCAGCACATCTGGGGGTCCTTGAGCAAGGCCCCTAACCCCCACCTCCCTGGGTGCTGCTATGGGGGGCTGCCCTTTACAGCCAGCACCTACAGAGAGCAAGTTGGGGGGGAGGCATTAAGAGAACTTCCCCATGAGGATCAATCAATTATCATTATTCAAATAAAACTCGTGAAAACTAGCCAGCTACCTTCTTTTCTAAACAGCTTGACTGAAAACGCATGCTCACCTCGCCTCGGAGGGACGTCACTCTTTCAGCAAAGGGCAGCTCCAGAAAATGCTGTCACCATGTGTCACCAAAAAAGCCAGCTGCAACAGCACTCCTACAAAAGCGGTGCACCCTAGAAAAACTCCGGCCAGGTGGAGCTCCTACGCGAGCTTTCACAGAGACAGCTCCTACGCGAGCTTTCACAGAGACAGCTCCTATGCGAGCTTTCACAGAGACAGCTCCTACGTGAGCTTTCACAGAAACAGCACTCCGGCAGAACAAGACGAAGCAGGCCTTCGAGCCTGCCAGCCTTCCAGTTACTGGGCTGCATCCTTAAGCTGCGGGCTCCATGTTTCTCCCAGATGGAGAGGAAGAAAGTAGGGCGTGACATAAAAGCTGACACCGAGAAGCTTGCGAGACACCAGCCGCCCAGTCACGGGGCAGACAGATAAAAGGAGAGAAAACCTCAGGCTTCTTCTCCAGCATATTTTCGGTGAGGGCAGAATCCCCTCCCTCACAAGACAGACAGACAGAGACCGAGAAAGAGTGAAATGTGGTCAGGCACCATCTGACAGCATTCACTGACTTCATCAATAAGCCCAAACTGACAGGGTGAGATACATACTGTGGTTTACTCAACGAAAAACAAAATTCAAAGGCTGCTGCTGGTCCTTTGTGTCAGATCACGGTTCATGAGTCCAACGTGCACAGAGCGAGACTAAAACCATGCAGTTTGGTTGTTTAATGCTGCGGCAGAGGGTCTGGCATAACTGGTTCCTTCTGGAACAGACTCTGCACTGTATTAACAGAGAACTAAACTGGGCTAAAGTGAATGCAGAGATGCTTAGCTGTGCGCTAAACACAACCCGTCATTAATCACTTAACTGCAACAAACAAGGTCGAGCTCCAACTTAAGCAGCTCTGAGAATGACACACAACTCCAGCAGAAAGTACATATGAAACCAGCAAAATGAGAACCACCAGGCCTGAACACTTCTGAAGGCAACGTTACACCATCTCCACAAGGTGACGACCCAACTCAAAACACTTACCCACAGAGACTTCATACCTCCCCCAAGCTACCTTGTTCATCAAAAACAGGCTGATGCTTCCTCACCAGGCACTGGGGACAGGTGACATGCCTGTCATCACCACTGGCTTCCTGCTCCATGTGCTGATGCACATACAGCCCAACCTCTAGAGCAGGGGTAGGCAACCATGATCCTGGGTTGCCGGTATCCAGCTGGTTTTCTATCCTACCTGGGGGGGGGGGGGGGTGTTCCACAGAGCAGGATTTCTCAGTTAGCTGGGTCAACTTAAGCTAGAATTCATGATTATCCAATAGGAATATGCCTTACCTTAAGCTAGAAGTCATGACTGTCCAATAAGAGTAACTCAGCTAACTTTGTGGAACACCCCCCTGGTCTCTGATGAACCACACCTGATCTCAAGCAGACAGTAACTCATCAGGTGGGATGGGAAATCTGCTGGATGCCGGCACTCCAGGATCGGGGTTTCCTACCCCTGCTCTAGAGGGACACTACCACACCCTACACTCAAACACAGCTACACTCCTCCATTGGAGGACATTAGAACCTCATGGAGACCCTGTCAATGATTTACACTGACCCACGCTCAGCAGTTCCTCTGGGTATCTCATCATGCTTGTGCCATTGAGATTCCCCAGAAGCCCTTAGAAACAGGACTACCAGATGTTTACTGCAGACAGGTGCATGCGGACAAGGGGCCTGCCAATCTGTTGGGCATCCAACATATAGAAGTTGCTCCTTGGAGACCAAACTGCGGGCAGAGACCTCAGGGAGAGGACCGACCCGTTTGTGCTTGTGTAAGTCACATGACTGGGACAGGCCGGCCCCAGGGACAGAGTAGCACGTAGACGGCAGACGCTTACCTCTGCAGGGCGAGGCTGAGGTTCCCCACGCAGGCCTTGATCTTGTTCTGGGCCTCCAGGTGAGTCATGCCAATGGTGGCGTGGCCTTCGATTGACACCACCACGTCTCCCACGGCGATGCCCGCCACGGCCGCCTTTCCGCCGTCTGTCAGCTGCCAAGACACAGAGCCAGTAAGACCCCCCCGGCTGCATAACGCAGCAGGAAGACACCAACACCTTCCCGGCGTCATTACAGGGTGTGGTTTTATTTTTACGTTCTTTTAATTTTTTATTTGAATTCCACTTTAGTTTTACATAGTGTGGTTTTATTGTTTTTTATTTTAAAGTTCATTTCTATTCTTTTTATATATTTTAGTTTTATTGATTTTATTTCTAGTCTGGTCTTTAGAGAATCTCCTCAAAATGGACAAAACATGGACAGCTGGACGGTTTTCATTTATAGTTTTTTTTTTTACTTTATTTATTCTATTTCAGTTTACAAGAATGTCTTGTTACAGTCTTATTTGTCTTTAATGATTATAACCCAGCACCTTCCGGAAAGAGGCTTCTGTCAGAAACATGCAGAACAACCTCATCTTGCCGTTCCATCTGCCGCCCGGCCGAGAGCGAGTAGAAAAAGAGCCACTTTGCGGACATGTGGGGAAGGGCCTGGTGCTGAGAGATAGCCGCCCCCGGAACCTTCCGGCACGTGTGGATAGAGGAGGCAGCGGCCTCTCCTGATTGCCCATTGTGGGCACGTTAGGGAAGCAGGGACAGATGTTGAGGCTTTGAAGGGAACAGGCTCCCATCCGAACTGCCACATCTGTAGCTTTGATTGCCGCCATCGATTAATTAGGAAAGCAAAACAGTCGGGAGGGAACAGCACAGCTGGGTCTCGCCACCCAGCTCCAAGACGGACGGTCGGACGATCACTCCGTCCGGCTTACAAAGGCGACAGGCGGGACATCTCATCCTGCACGGTAACTATGGCGATAGCAATTCCCTGCAGCGACAATAAGATGCAAGCCGGAGTAACGGAGAGCTCACAGTGTTTAACCGCTCAGCAGACGAGCGCCAGTGTGGAACTGCTTCCATCTGAGCTCCCTATAATATAATTAGCGTTAAAGTTATCAGGAGGAAACCGCAGCAAATTACTTCAGATCAAATTGCAGTCGAATGGTTTCCATCAAGACATTTTTTGTAATTTAAATTAATCTCGAGGAGCAAATCAAGCTTTATAGATGGTCCTCTCTTCATGACATCTGTACAGAGGAGAGGAGAGGATAGGATAGGAGATCTGATTGACAGGTCAGAACCCCGCCTCCCCTGCACAGCTATTGGTCGGATGGTCACCAAACAGAGAAACTGGAAATGATGGCTGATGTGATGGGGATGGACACTTTTACTGAAACAATTTTCTGCTGGAATGGACCACACTGTCACAGTGCACATCAAAGTGGGCAAATGCCAGTTACCCAAGAGTCAGACGCCCGTTCATTGCTCTCCAGTCCCCGGGGATCTCTGCCTACACAGCTGTCTGCCCCCGCATGCTGTGGAGGCCGGCTCTCCCAGGTACACGGCGGCCCCACAATCGTCCTGGAGCGAGTTCGCCTGGCCGTCACTCCTCTGAGACCCCAGGCGCGCCTCTCAACTCATGGCTAAGTCACTCCAGGAAGCCGGGGCCACAGGAAGTAAACGCCCTCTGCAGTCTCATGCGGGATCAAGGAACCGTCGCGTGGGCCTTAAAAGGTCCGACGCCGTCTCCGAGTCCCGCCCACTTCCTGAAAGCGGGGCCCACAAGCCACAGTCGTGCAACGGTATTTCCCAGCAGCCTGATGAGAGTGATCCCTTCAGCAAATTGCCTCACTGTACGCACACTGCGACAGATTCACTGCGGGCAGCTGGCTGCAGGTTAAGTTGGAAGGTGCTAGTGTGTAAGCCTGTCTACCACAGCACAGAGAGCGCGATCAGGGTGTGATCACCAGCTCACTAACAGGACGCTCGTGTTTACACCCCCAGGGAGGAATGTAAGGCTCTGGCACTGAAACTGAAGCTATGGGGTGTAGCCGTTTCCCCTCTAAGCCCCTGGGGGGGGAGCTCCACCCTCCTGTCCTATCAGACCAGACCAATGGAAACCAGAGCAGCCAGCTGAACAGGGCAGCCAGCACCACACACCTAGTCCCACGGCACCAGTGAGATGGGCCATCCCCTGGAGGTCTGTCCTCCACATCGGCATCGAAACCAGGTTCAACAAGGTCCATAGGGCTCTGAGTTCAGGACGGGTCTCCGAGGATCAGCCCACAAGGTGCTGTCATCTAAACAGAGGAGATTCACCTGAGAAGCTCCATCCATCCAAGCCAAGAAAGCAGCCAATGGGTGCGGGAGCTTAGAAGCGAGGATCAGACTGTTCCCCGAGCACTTTCCCGCGGAGCCAGTTCAGACCCGACGCTTACAGCGGAGCAGCACCAACCTTCTGCTGGTTACTGCAGGATAAGGATGACAGAGAGCTTGGAATTTAATGCCGTAAGGGAATGTTGACAAGTCCTAACAGAGGCTTGACAGGGAACCCCATCCCGCCCCAACCCCCCACGCAGTGGCACCGCCCTGTCGGTACAGCCAGCAGTGAAGCTAGCCGAAGCCGGCCCACCGCCATCCCCGCCCGACCGGTATACCGTCCAGCCACAGATATGCCATCTTCCGAAGAGTGGACACGCCGTCTTCAGTGCCAGCCTTTCCAGGGACACAGCAGGACGGCAAATTAGCACAGAGCGCCTTTCAGAGGCTCAAGGAGGTCAGCTGACCCACCTCCATGCGGAAACAGAGGAAAGAAGAAAAGAGAAGACTAGCCCCCTCCCCCACACCCCACGGGGTACGATCTGAATATCTGGGTAGGTCATTCGACTGCCTCGTGTCTAACCACAGCGTTTGGTTCTGCTCATACCTGTGGTTTTCCCTGCACTCCTCAAAACGAGGCCTGGCCTTCGCCTGAGCCTGACAGCACATGTTTGAGCACAGAGCTGGTATCTGAGCTGGGACCCCTCCCAGCAGGAGCAGACAGCTTACCCACATTACCCAAATAAGTCTGAAGGTCATCCGGGCTTAACGCTAGTTAACTGCAATCCACCCGCCGACTGGTGCACTCAAAGCACAGCAAATCACTTAACTAGCCTCCGAAGAAGAAAGCCTGGAGATCAGGCTATGGAAGAAGCAGGGGCGGCGTGGCTAGGAACCGTGCAGACGTGCCAGATGGCTGCAGATCAGCAACAAGCCCATGTGACCCCCCCCCCCCACTAGAGCAAACACAAGCAGCACCCAGGGGCGTTTCTCACCTCATCCATTTGGGTTCTGAACACATGACCAATTGGGCAACGCTACATGACGCAACATCACACTCATTATCAGAGAACGGAGCACAGCGACGGCCAGATGATCATGCAGCAGTTTGAACAGCAGGCCTGAAGTGGAGCAAAGGTCAGCCAGCTCACAGGCCACCCAGAGCCCTAACCCTGACAGCACCAGCAGCCCTGTCCCTTACAAACAAACACCAGAGAGGCTTATGGGAGACAGAGGCCTCCACGCCCATGATGGGCGAGGTCAGTGCGAGCCGAACCATTTCCCATCCAGGGGAGGCCAGTCGCAGTGGAATGTCACTTTAACTGACTGAACACTCACAATCAGGTCTCTGCTTAAGCTATTTCACACCCTCTTTCCTGGAGGCTAATGAAACAACCCGAGACACAAACCAATAAATCATCTGACACAGCATGACAGCTGAAAGGTGCGAGTGAAACGCCCATAAGCAGAACAGAGGCCCTATAGATCATTCCAGGCTCTGCTGAGAGCCTCAAGGTGCGATACACCATGGCCATACACCACAGCTCAAATGGGTCAATAGTAATTAATGTGACAGATTATTCACACACAGACCCAAACTTTTAATCAGGGCTAAATGACTATGATCTGTGAACAGCTGTCAAAGGACAAGCCTGGTTTCCTGGACTGGGGAATGTTTTCCTAAAACTGTCCTGCTAGTAGGAAGGGTGCTGACCCCCTTTGCTTGGCCCGGAGATCCTGCCCGGGGAACAGCCGAGGGGTCTGGGTCAGACAGAAAGCCACATAGGATCACAGCAGGAAAACGCTCGGACGTCGTGGCGTGTGAATCGCACCACTCTCAGCTGTGAGGCTCAGGAGGGGATATCCACAGTAACCCCCCCACTCTCAGCTGTGAGGCTCAGGAGGGGATATCCACAGTAACCCCCCCACCTCAGCAGTTGTCTGACGCCGTCTTCACCTGGTGTGCGGGATGACTAACACTGTGCTCCCTGCTGCCAGCCCCTCCCACAGCTTTCACAGGCCCAAACACACCGCACTGTCGTCACACTGGCACTGGGAGTGCTGCCAGTACACACCCCGCCCTGCCCCCATCACACCCTGACACCAGACGGACATTTTCCCACAGCTCAGGTTTCCCCCTTTTGCTGAATTCCAACATGCTACCAAACTGACCGTGAGCTTGTCCATGTCCCATCACATAGGCCCCGCCTTCACACAAACCCCACCCCCTGTCCCCATCACATAGGCCCCGCCTTCACACAAACCCCACCCCCTGTCCCCATCACATAGGCCCCGCCTTCACACAAACCCCACCCCCCTGTCCCCATCACATAGGCTCCGCCCCATTGTGGCTCCGGCCATCAGCACCTGGCCTTTCCCCCTGACCAGCCCAGGCCTACATGCATACAGGACACTCGAGCTGCTTCCAGAGGCGGGATGAAAGGCTGGAATGTACCTTGGAGACAGTGAGGGGCATGCAGAAGTCCTTCCCCCCCTGCAGCCGGAAGCCCCAGGGGGCAGGGCCAGGGAGGGACACCGAGTAGCTGCTGCTCATGTCGGCTGGTCTCGCTGTAGGAGGGCGTGATCAGTCCTGAAAAGGCAAAGGCAGCACGTCAACTCAAACAGCCCCCCGAGCCTCAGTACTCCTTACACACCAGCGTCACACTCCCAGCGAGTGCACTATAAAAGGACAGGAGACAAACAGCACCCCCCAATGGCGGCAGCATGTTATGTCTTACACACCCTTCCCCCACACGCCAGAGAGGAACAGGAAACTTGCCTTTCGCAAGGTAACAGTGGCAATCTGCCGCTATCGGTCGATTTACGTGGAGCGGACGCAGGGTTAAGCAGGCCTGCTCCCAGCAGTGGGTGTGGCCACAGGAATGAGTCAAAATACACTCCCTGCTGAGAGATCACCTGCGACCCCGCCCACTGAAACCACGGCAACACGTGACCTAGCTAACGGCTCCCTCATTAGCCAGCAGCCTCAATTCAGGCAGTCAAGGGTGCCATTTCTCCTGCTTTCCCTCATTCCCCCCCCTCATTTCCCCCTAAGGGTGTGTGTCCTCTCTGACAGCTCCATTACGCTCTCCATCAGAGGGAGTGTCTCTCCCCAGCAGTGTGCAGAATCTTCCGGAACCAAACCGTTTCTGTTTATCCCGCGTTGACATACACCAGACACAATTATCTAAAATATACAAAATCGCATTTCTAAACATCATTAAATCCGTTAAACCAGGGTAAGTCAACAATGTCCCAGGAAAACATCACAGTTAAGGCCCAGACAGTGAGATGATGTCAGAACTTCCCAAATTTCCACCCTTGACCCAAAGAAGGGCGGACTGCCCCCAGGGCTGCGGGCATTAAATGCTGTGTTCACCAGGGACAGCTGTGCGGTGAATCACGGCTGATTCATGATGCCACGTCCGACAGGAGAGATTCGTGACCGCACGGCAGCCCACCCTGGCACAAAGCTCACAGGTGATTCACGGGCCAGGTGTCCGACCCAGCTGAGCAGGGGACACAACACACCGAAGACCAGTGCATCACCTTCAAGACAAAAAGCCAGATCGTCCCAGGTCTCTAAGCACATGCATGGTACACATGAGCCTAAACATCTTCTACCTCTCAAGAAATAATTCCACTTGTGATACAATCACACAGTTCTCCTGTGTTAAATATGACAAAACCCAAATTAAAATCATGGTTAAAAAAAAAAACACCACCCAGATCAGGCAGCTGCATGACTTTGAAGATTCCTCCTCCACGAACCATGGATCCCATCGCCCTGTGAGTGGCTTCAGGAGCTCAGTCCAAGGATGAGGAACCTCAGAGGTGCCTTCAGACCCCATTCCAGTTGCAGTGACAGCGATCAACCTGCACCCGACACCAGTACAGCCTGAAAATCTGACTGACCTCAAAGGCAGGTGTGCTTCTTAATTGTGCCGTGAGAGCAGCGTCCGGAACACGTTTAATGAAAGAAATCACGTTATTTTCCCACGACTTACTAACACAAGTTAACGTCACTCAACTTCGCGTCTTCTTTTTCCCGTAGAACCCGAGCGATGTGCTACGGCGGCAGGAGGACCAGCTGTGTGCGTAATCGCGCCCGGTTCGCCGTCTCGGGTTCCCGCCACACCCTCCCTGATCTTTAATAACGCAGTCGATCCATAGCCACCGGAATTACTATTACTAATGTATCGAAAGAGGAAGCGCAGGGACAGAGTTTCACGCAAAAGCAGCGCTTCCGTATCCAGTGAACCTGTTAATAACGGTGTGATAAGGTGATCAAACAAGCGGACGGATCGGTCCTCGGCCACCGGTAGCCTGCTGCGTGTCACCCACCTCTGCGGTCCGGACGGCACGACGATCCGAGCGGAGCGGCGCTCTCCTTCGCCCTGCTGAGGTCGACGATCTAGCGGCTCCGGCCCCCGAGCGGACGCGCAGACTTCCGCCCTGAATTCCTCCGCGTCGATGCCCTGCGGCGGTGGGAAGCGCCGAGCCGAGTCAGCCGCAGAGGCGGCGTGTGTCCTCACTTTGACAACGTGCGATCACACAGGCGCAGATTTATATGCGTGTCCGGTATTACAGCACTGCACCTGCGGTAAACACGCAGAGAACTGGACAGGAGTCCGGCTAATTTTATATTAATGGTAACTTCCGATCCGGTTTTCCTCTCCGATGTCCTGGTCACCTGCACGGAGACTCACCTGGATTCGGCCTCCTCGACGTCCGACCGTCATGTAAATTGGGCGTTTGAAACTTATTTAGTCACTTGGCTGCCTGACTGTCAGTGTCGGATAGAGGAGTTGAGATCCCCGATCTTTGTCATGTGGCATGTGCACCACGCCACATGCTGGAGAGTGGAAACGGCACAGGCTCTTTTTAAATCTGTTTATTGGCTGTAAACTTTCCTCCTTCTTCAGTAAATCGCAGATGAAAAGAGACAGTTAAAACTGCACGAATCCTGTTAAACGGAGTGAAATAAACTACTGTAGTGAATTTTTATTTATGCACCCGTTACTTTTTTCTTTTCTTCCGACCATCTTTCAGTCCTGTTAGAAAATGCACCTTGAAGGGTTTGTTATTCATCGTCTTAGATCGTCTCACGAGTCCTTTCCGTAACGTGGATATCCTTCAATGCGGCGGCTCCGAGTGCCCTCTAGTGGTGAAACGCAGCGATTGCTCCCCGTCCCCATAATCCTTTGATCTGCAGTTGGTATCATACAGACGAAACACAGGACACGGATTATACATAATTAATTTTAACGTCCACCGCTGTCATTAATTAGTTACGAGTTTGTATATTTGTATTCATGATATTCCTTATTCTCATTTTAGAACAGTATCACTCCTGGCGTAAAAATTAGTGGTGTCAATCGATTAAATAAAATAATCCAGTTAGTGACAGCAGTAGGCTGTGATTAATCATGATTAGTTTAAAATTGTAGTAGGGTATTTGCTTGTATTTTTTGGAAGATGAAACATGCGTGGTCACAAGAAATGCATGACAATCTGGTAAGAGGAATCACATTTTTTAAAAATATAACATCTTGGTTTTGATAGTTGAAACCAGTTGCTGTCAGGGTCAGCCACTGTTGTCCCACTCTGTGTCCCTTCCCCGTTTGGCCAGCAGGTGTTGCTGGTCATCCCGTTTCCCGTGTTGTCAGTCTTTGTGTTTTCCCCTGTTCCCTGTTCAGCCACATGGCTCAACACATTGATCATGCAGCTGCCTGTAATCCCCTGTTTTATGTTTGAATCCCACCTCCTGTTTTTGTAGTTTTGTAGATTTTGTTCCCTTGTGTTTCAATTGTATCAGTTTTCTAGTCCCTTTGTTTCATTTGTATTCGGTTTTTGCTCTTGATTGTTTTTACCTGTCTGTAATTCCCCAGTGTTAGTTTATGTTTCCTTGGTTAGTTCTTAGTTTCCCTGTTTTTAGTTCCTTTGAGTTATTAGTTTCACCTGTGCCCTGTTTCCCTGGTCTTTGTTAATTAGTCTCACCTGTCCAGTGTTAGTCTCGTTACCCCTTAGTATTTTAGTTCCTGCTTCTGTCCAGTTCCCCAGTGGTTCATTGTCTGATCGTTGTGATTCTCGGTGTTAGATGTGCATTCTGCCCTGTTTTTGTTGTTAGTCTTCTTTATTCCCATTTATTTTTGACTCCTCGTGGTCCTTTGTTCTGTTAGTGTTTTCGTGTGTCTTTTAGTTCATTTAATGAACCCTGTTTTTGTCCTTGGAGCTGCAAGTGGGTCGTCCTCCATTTGTGCCCGCACCATGCCCCGTGCCCGCGCCATGCCTGCCCGAGTCCATGACAGTTGCATGGTTCCAAGTGTGTAAGTTACTAACGTAATTATCAACTTTGGCAGTGTTGGGCATTTCAGGTACAGAAGCTACATATCCAGACCAAGACTATGTTTCTAACAGCCAGTTGAGTACTCTGGGACTGTGGCTCTTTGTTTCTACCAAGCAGTTAAGCATAGTCTTGGTCTGAATGTGTAGCTTCTGGACCTGAAATGCCAAACTCTGGCTTTTGGGAAATGTACCCCTGCTCTGCTTTTATAATTTTGTAACTTTGCTTCTTCTGTTTTTGAATGAACAGAGAACACGCTGTGTGACTTGTATGAATTACACAAGCTTTTTTTACTACAAAAGTTAATGTTTTAAGCAAAATGTCTGTTCAGCAAATACAACCCATAGTAGTTTTAAGCTATTTCACAACATTTACAGATGTGGATAAATTTGGTACCCTTCCATTAAAAAAACACAACTACCTCTGAAATAACTTGAAACTGACAAGTTTAATGATTATTGATTCAGTTGAATATTTTATATAAACAAATTAAAATGGCACATTAAAGTACCCTTAATTTAATATTTAGTGGCACCACCTTTTGCAGGAATCACTGCCAACAAACGGTCTCTGTACTTCACCATGAGACGTCTGCATTTGCCAAAAGGTAGTTTGGCTCACTCCTCCTGAGCAAACTGCTCAAGCTGTGTCAGGTTTAGAGGGTGGTGTCTCCACACTGCAATTTTCAGATTTTTCCCATACATGTTTGATAGGATTGAGATCTGTGCTCATGGAGGGCCATTTAAGAATAGTCCAATCTTTTTTTTTTTTCTTTTTCTCAGCCATTCTTGAATGCTTTTAGCTGTATGTTTTGGGTCATTATACTGTCGGAGGACCCATGACCAGTGACTGAAGCTGGGTGTCCTTGAGCAAAAAATACTGCCTTGATAGTCTTGGGACTTCAGCAAAGCGGCCCCAAAACAAATCCGAGCCCCTCCATGTTTCACAATAGGTATGGTGTTCTTTCCTTTTAAAGAATGGATGTGGATGGTTTCCTTGGCTCTCTTTCTACCATTCACACTCTTTCTGACCAACCTGGGGTTGCATTTCCTCTTGCGTCCGTGTCCTGGGAGGTGTGGCTACAGTCCCATGAACCTTATATTTTTAAACTGGCACAGGAACATGAAGCTGCTTAGAGATGGCCTTATAGCCTTTACCATGGTTATCTATAATCTTCTTTCTGAGCTCCTCAGACAGCTCTCTCCTCTGCTTTCTTTGGTCCACGTTCAGTGCGATTCACACAATACCAAACAGCAGCATGTTCTTGCCCTTTAAATAAGCTGAATGGCTTGTGAAAAGCTTGAAGGTTCCTGTGCTACTAATTAAGGTTAAACATTTAGTTTGAAACACGACTATAATGCAAGGATAAATAGTCTCTTTAGGGTTATCAACAAATCTGTCCATACCGTTTTAGCATATCTTTGTAAAATAAACAACAAATCGGTTCTTTTCACAATTTTATTTTACTGTATCACATACTAAAGGCATGTGGGTATACATTAGACAATTGCTTTTAAGTCATTTTCAGGATAAATGAAGCATCGTTTCAATGTGCTGTAATGGAACCAACATGGTGAGTCTCCCAAAGCCTTTTTAACGCTGCGTCTTTCGTACATTCTGTCTGTTTGCCCTGATTGGTTAGTGTGTGTGTGTGCGCTGCAGCTGCTCTGTTTGGTTTTTCTAGTTCTGCTCCTAACTTTTGATATTTTTGTAGTTAGTTCTTGTTCTTCCCCATTTTGCTTTTGGTCACACGTGGTCTTTTTTTGCAGCGCAATATATCCCTTTGTCTTGGAGCTTTTAAGTGGATCATCACCTTTTTCTAACCCGTATCATATGCTACGCCGCGACAATGACTAGCGCTATTTGCAGATGGGTGGGCGATCAGGACTGCTTTGTGATTAAGACACTGAACTCAGTGACTCTTGTTCTTTTTATTCTCCTTATATTTAGTTTCTACTTGTATATATTTGAAAAGTGGACGCTTCAAGGTTTCTGGGGGTATTTTATGTGTTTGCAACAAAAACTTGCGGCGTATTAGATGGTATGGCGAGATTTGTTCTATCCCACAGGAAGGATTGCGGACTCCAGATCATTCATTACCGGTGTAAAGTTAGTTTAATATTCAACATTCAAAATGCAAACTTACTATGTGCTTCAATACATATAAAAATATGCTACAATCCATGCAGCCGTTTGCTCCATCACCGATGGCACGAAGTGTCTGACAGCTTCCGTCGTGATGAGAAAGCAGTGTGGCCCCACTTGGATCGTACCTTACCCCTCTGGATTTCAATCAGGTGATACGGAATTATTCTTGAAGAACTCAGTTGTACAATATGCTGTAATTTTTTTTGTCTTCTGTATTTTTGTAATGGAAATATAGATTTTGCAAACATCTTAGACTCCTGTCAGTATATAAATATGAATCCATTTTTTACACATTAAACTAAATGGTAATATTTTTCAATACACCTGACTGCACTGTTACATTAGAGATGCATTATGTTAAATGTTTTACACTTAATATTTTATACTTTACATTTCACATATTTAAACCATGCTAAAAACATACAAATTAGTTTAAAAGCAGCCCTTATAAAACTGTAATCAGTCATTGATCCTCATTGCTGTACCCCTGTCCTTGTGTCCTGGTGCTTGTTGGAAGGAAATATATATTCATATTTCATACATTTATAGCATATTAATGTTTGCATTCACTCAATAGATTTTTAAATAAACACAATAATACAGTGAAACACTTTTTAATTACTTCATGCACCTTTTCCTTTTTGTATTCACACAAGACACAGTGCCATAGTAAGTCGGCGCCCGGGAGGCTGTTCTGGTTCTGAGTGATACATGCACCCAATGGTTCCATGGTTACTGTATCACCCAATGGTGATACATGCACCCAATGGTTCCATGGTTACTGTATCACCCAATGGTGATACA